CCCGCTCTAGCGTGAAATTCGGCCGAGAAGTAAGCCACTGTTCAGTGAACCATGGCTCGGACAATGGGCAGAATACAAATGCGCAACGGGTGGGCTACTGGCTTTATCAATTAGCGCAGAGTTATTGGGCCGATTCAGACAGATAGACGAGTGAGTTTAACACCGGACCTGTGACGTCATAAACACACCGCTGGTGATGATTAACTACTGTTGATTATCCCAAACACCGTGCATAGCTTCCCTGCACAGGTGTTGGCCAGCAATTTGTCACCAATTCACCGGGCCCATCTCAGGATAAACAAGCGAATTTATGCAGCCAGCGCGGGTCATGGCGTTCACTTTGGCCCGTTCGTTTGCAATACATCACCGCTGAGCCGAGCTTTTGATAATAAGAGCTCGTATGGCTGAGCAGCCACCGGTTGACGGGAGCAGTAATCAGCAAAGGACGGACATTGCATAATAATGCGCCGCGGGAGCCGTTCTGAGAAATATCCGGCTGCATGTGTCCCATGACCTCAGCTCCGTTCGGTGAAACTCTCACGATGTTTAGTTGCTGAGGCACTCCCACTTCAAAGACACAGAGGCGCCGCTTTGACACAGAGCCAGTCCGCAGTCCGGGAATTTCGGAGAGTTTTTGTGTCAGGGATGCAATGTGTTCAGAAAACATACAACAGCCGGACCATGATATCCACATTGGTGTCGTTAATTTTGTCGCGGCGGTGGCAGCGGCGGCGGTGGCGGTGTAGGGCGCTGGGCGGTGGCGGCAGAGACTGCGTCTGAGGAAGCATTGGCAGCCACAAGTTTATAACCACCTCAGAGCCGTTCAGATTTTACAGCACACCGTTCGCGCTACCGTGCAAACGTCCCATTCTCTGCTGCACGCTCCAGGAGCACTCAACGCACACAGCCGCCCACGCCGCTCATCCATTATTAAACACTCGCTCAGTTATCTACCGATCGCGTGTTTTGCGTTTCGATCTGCGCGCATTATATTTGCGGGCACGTGCGGTTGCCCGGTGCCGCCCCCTTTTAGTAGCAGACCATGATCAAAGTCGGAGGGATCATCAGGCCACTTACCGGCCCAGTGGAGAGGCGATCAAAGATCTGCTGCCGGGCCGATCGAAGATCTGCTCCCGGGTGACCTGACCTCAGTGCTGACCTGGTATTTGCAGAGTTTCTCTGTGCACATGTCCTCAATAGCCGGAGACTGGATACGCTTCGAAGGGTATATAGGCACTCAACTGCTACATATTGCATGATCAAAAACATCCATCACACATATGCCGCCTTTCCCCTTGAAAGCTATCCGTAGCGTTTCTTATAAGTCTTTGATTTTCACTTAATCGCTAAGCTAAATTTGTGGAGCCTTTACTTCAATCCCAAAACCAAACAATTTTGTTTTCGGTTGTAAACGTTTCTGTGGTTTGTAGCTAAGTTTGTGCTTAGAATGGCAGAGTGAAGCCGATAGATTAATTTGCATTTACAAATACACTGTGCCAAGATAAACAGATTAACCGAAGGTCAACGTGTGCCTTCCGTGGGTCTCTGACCTGCAATGTCCTGTTTCGCAGGTCGCTGACCCCACACCTACGATTCCCACCGCCCCCGCCGGGCACTCCGTGCAATATAACTCATAATCAGCGAGATCATAGTAAAATCGTTCCACATGATTGAGTCTCGGTTCTGTCCCTCCTCCCCCCCCCCACGGCTCTCCGGGAGCGTTACAGCCACACCCAGGCCATCTCCGCTGTCAGGAAGATGAGATATCCTTGGTTACTAGCGGCTCAAGGCGTATACAAAAATAACGCACGAGGTAACCGCTACTTTTTAGGAAGTGCAACTATCCGTCCCCCAGCCAAAGGGAGCGAAGCCTAAAACCCCTAAAACTGTTCAGTCGGAAAGGTCAAAACATTGCTTTGCTCGTGATTAAGAAATGAACTTTGCAGCCAGACAGCTGTCATATGTGTCAGAAGACTCTCCTGTCATATTCTGACGTAAATGCCAGCATCATGCAAACATTTCTCTTACCCTCCTGCTTACAGCAAACTGTTTACATAATTTGATCGTTGAACTGGGAATCAAGATTATCATTTTCCTGGTCGTATTGTAAATCGTGACCACCCATCTAACCTGCCATCAGAATCCTGTCAACACTGTCACCAAACTGCCGTCTAAGCTGTCCGCGTACCGTGCCTTTACTGTCACCCCCCCCCCCCCTCCCGGGCCACCCCCGCGTCCTCCTCGAACTTCTTCACGGTTGAACTGCCGGGTCAGAATCCGCAATCTGTCGACGGGTCAGCCGGCTGCAACACGATATTGTTCTGAGAACAGGTGGTGGACACAGGTCTACATCCTAGCCATATGGGTTATTATAATACCACCCGCTGCAGATAAACCCTAAACCACGTCACTCGGACAGGAATACAGCCGATAAAATCACTCAAGAAGCCCGGCGTAGTAAGATACGGGTTACTGTTTATTACGTTACAGTTTTGATCATTAACTGTTTGTGGGAGTAGGGAGAAATTCGTAGGGTTATTAAGCTTTTACGCTGCTCATGATGAGAGGAGATAGCCCAGCGTTATCGGTTGGTAGTTAAATCAAGCATTTCGCATAAAATCGCCGCGAATGTGCTGCTGCATGCCAGCTTTGTCATATCTCGTACCAATCAAAGTCATCAAATCGAACTATTGCACGTAATTGCATATCCATAAAACACTAAACAAAGAAAGCTTCTTGTTGCACACAGTACACCAACTTCGCCACGAAGTTTGTTTCGGAATACCAGTAGCATGTTTCCCTTCCCATAACTGCGACCAAGGTGCTCAGACACGTGCACAATCTCTAAAAGGACCTTCTTTACGCATTGGTGGGCGTTGATCGCAATGCGAATCGCCTGTCAGCCCTTCCTATCTTCGATCGTAAATGTCCCGTAAAACACACCAAATCAGCCAATACATGTCCATCTCGCTACCAAGAATACCACGAGAATATAGCCGCCAAGGGTCGGAGCAGAGATGGACAGCTGAAGACAACTGTAGACAGCTGATCGATAAAAGAATGGAGGCAGCTGGAGAGGATTGATGGAAACTTTGTGTATGAGGAGAGGTAAAGCGGCAAACGGTTTGTTCATCGCTCGGACAGGTGGAACTCATCGAGATAGCGTATCCCAGATGAACAATGCAGCGGTCTAAATTTAGCTCGGTGGTCAAGAGGGTACATCTCGTGACCCCTTGATAGCTATGTTGTGCACGAAAAAACAACAACAGCGAAAATGCGTCATGGAAACGGCTAATAAGTCATCAGTAAGGTAGCTAAAAATGCGTAAAGATTTAGATGATTTATCGCAAACACGTAACCCTAATAAATGGGATCCAAAGAGTCTCTACCGCCACCGACCTCCCCCCCCCCGCGGTGTCCAGTCTACCATGGCGACGGCGCCAGTGTCAGGATGTCATGGGACGGCCCCAGTCGAGATGCCGACCCAGATAGGCGCGGAGACACCGTGTTCACATGATACTGGAGGCGGTGACACCGGGAGACTTCAAACTGAGGCGGGAGTTGTTTTTTCGGAAAGGTGTTAATTGGATACATCTAGATTGTACACGATCAAATCACTGGGGCTTAACTTGAAATTTGATACGAAGGAATCGCATAACTTGAAATTGTTAAAATTAGACGTTCTTGAAAATGGACGAAAAAATAACGCTACACTCCTAAATAACAAACCTTATCTAATATCTAACGTGAACTCGTCTCTCTTTCATCGCCAGCACTTCACCCAAAAGTCATCTGCCTATCCCCCCCCCATTCGTCGTCATCAGAGGCCGTTTCAGAGTCCCCACACCTACCCCGGAATGCGCGCACATCTCCTGAAAAGCGTCACCGCCGTCGACACCGGTGATTTGTGAGTTTGCCGCCGCTCCGAACCGCTAAATACCGACAATGCCAGCGCCGTATCGGCTGAATCGGGAGCGCCCGGGTGTTTTCTTCTCGTGACATAAAAGCTCACTAACCGCGCCGGGCCGCCGCCGCTCGCGTTGTGCCCGCGTTGTGTCCGCCGCTCGCGTTGTGTTCCCGTTGTGTCCACGCGCTCTGATGCTATGCTAATGGCTGCGCTGGGTCGTTCTCATGGCTCGTTTGGACTCGTCCTGAAATTCTATCGTCATGCCGGAAGTCAGGCTCGCCGGCACCTGGCGTTGGCCCCTCCCTGCCCCTGACGGGCCTCACCACCGGGCCGGGCAGGGCCGGACCGGGCCGGGCAGGGCGGCAGGTGCCACCCGGGCTACATCCGGACCGCTGCACTACTGCACCGGCCGCTCTGCAACTCACCCTGCAACATCCCCGCCGCCCGGCGGTGGACGTGGCACCGACAGCAGAGTCCGAGAGTCCAGAGCATCCACCGAGCCGGCCGACCGGCACCTGACCTCAGCAATCAGTCCACCAGACATGACCATTCATCATGGGTGGCTAAACAAATAGCGCCAGGGGCTGCCGGTAGCAGAGGCCGGCCAGGCTATTTGACCGATCAGTCGGTCGGTAGGTTGGTTGGTCGGATAGTTGGTCGGTCGGTCGGTTGGCCGGCCTACCACCCAGATCTAACCACCCTTGAGTGATCGGTCGGCTCGGAATGCACCTCGTCAGCCTGGGTGAGCTAATTGAGCCCCCGTGAGCGGCAGTAATCACCCTGGTGAGACGCGCGCAACGACGGTGATTGTATGATACCCGCACGTGAATTTATAACGTTGCATCTTCTCTGATGAGTTGAATGAGCGGTGTGTTTTGTAAGAGAGGTTTGAATCCGGCTTGAGACGCGAGAATGCAATGAAGAATTTGTGGAGTCCCCAAAGTTTGCTGACCGGGGGTGCCAAGAGGCAGACGGGTTCCGAGTCCACACTCAAACATGAGCTGTTTGCACTCGACAAACAGTAAACCCTCTCGCTAATATTTTCACCGACCAAGCTGACACAAGCATCCGCAAACAAAAGCACGCGCGTGTTTTAGCGCAGCGCCTTCTGTTCCAGAGAAACCTCACCTGTCGTCGCCAGAAGGCGGTCGCCGGTCGCGGGGCGGACCGGCAGCGCCGGCAGCGCCCCACTCGGCTTTGTTCGACCCATCTTCCCCCGGCGGCACAAAGCCGAGCGACGGCGACGCCCTTCCGGTGCATTACCGCGGTGTGGGGCGGGATTTTACTGCGAAAATGTCATTCGTTAGTCGGGCCGGCGGCAGTGCCGCGGGCGGTGGCACGGCGGTGCGGGGTGGCGGATTAACGAGTTACAGCGGAGCCGGCCGGCCGGCCGGGGTATCTGTCTGTGTGTTTGTGTGTCGGTGTGCCGAGCGGAGGGCAATTTTCACCTGTTGCTCGCCAGGGAGCGATCCGCGCCCCTCTGACGAAGCACGTGACGTGACCAGGGATAATGATGACGCATCACGGCGCGGCGGCGATTTGGATTGACGCGGCACGTCCTGTGGTCGCTCTGCGGAATGATTGGGAGCGCCTTGCTTTGAGAGAGCGCCAACAGCAGACTCGGGCAGCCGTGGTGTAGAATTACCTTTGATGGATTTCATTCGCACCGTGCCACTACTGGAAGGTTAGGATGTAATCAGGCGATTCAACGCGCGCTTAGGACTGAGACAGATTATCGAATTAGTCCAGAAGAATAACGGTGCACGGTCGGGACCTAAACAAACCGCCACTTAGCTGTGGGACATCAGGATGCCATCACGCGCTGCTAAGTAACCTCGGAAACCACCAACACCTCATCAGTCGCTGGCGTTTGTCACAAATGACAACCGGCCTCCCCGGCCGGCCGGCATCACTCAGCGGTCATAAACTGTTCACCTCTGACCCCGGCCTGCTGCCGGCCATCACAGGGGTCAGAGGTCAAGCAGCGGTAGCCGCGCGGCGCGGCGCGGGTCGCAGGTCAACCCTCATCGTTCAAACGCCGGCCCACGGCGGTTTCCCAGCGCCCCTTCGAGCGTTCACGACTCAACAGAGGGGTTTTTGTGGACTGGAATGTTTGTCCAGCAGCCTGATGTGCGCACGTGTTCTGCTTTTTGCAGACTCTTCACCGGATGAAGCTATTATAGCTCTTCAGAGATCAAACGACGCAATGACTGAGCATAGACGCAATCAGTGGCCTGGTGATGATGATTGCATATTGCCTCCAGCACTCAATAATCACTAACTCCTCCAACGGATACCTCAGCGTCTCAAATCTTTCCAGTCTGAGCTCTGAGCTATGAGCTCTGAGCTCTGAGCTCTGAACTCTGAGCTCGGAGCCATCCCACGGTGGCGGGCTGAGGGATGGTCGCTCTGGCCTCCATCCCGCTCAGCTTTCCCACTGAGACGACCAGCGTGGATGACATTCGTGAGAGTCGCCCCGGCCGTAATAGCCGCACGGCTAAGAGGAACACCTGAGGCCTCCGGACGCACAGAATGCCGAACGGATGCCGCAAGAGATCGATAGGCCGTGGTCGCAGCGAGTCAGACTGCTCAGTGCGTTAATGACCCGTGTAAATCGACACTACTGGAACAGAGAACAGAGGCATTCGTGGCAGCTCTGGTGTAGGTAGCTTCGTGAAATTAAAGCAAACCCTTCCTCCAAACTGTTAGTGAGCCAGATGAAAAACACATGAGAGTTACGCCACATCTCTCACCTACCATCTCTCTCCCTCCCCCTCTCTCTCTCTCCCTTTCTCCCTCCCTGTTCATCATCCCTCTCCCCACCCCTCTAAAATCACTGCAGCCACGCCTACCTACCGTTCCCACGCCACAATCTGCGCCCCGGAAACTGCGAACATCGCTCCAGCCGGGAGCGGCAATCACTCTGCCCATCTGCCGATAACTTTTAGGCCGCATCCCTCTCCCTCCCCGCCCCGCCGGAGATTTAAATCCCGTGCAGAACAATCCACAGCGCAGTGGAGAGGGTCAAAAGTTAACCGCGAAAGGCCTGCCGAATTGCGTTCATTGATTCATCCACGCTAATTGTGCGATTGCGTTTTGAGGAGCCGTTAGCACTTGGGTCACGTGGGCCGAGTGAAGACTTCCGTTGCGTTCACTCGGGCTACTGCGCCTGAGCAGACGGTCATTTGCGATGATTGGTAAGCGAACGACACGGAATCGTTTTTCGATTCGGCATTACACGAGCGTTAACCACTGTGATACCTCTGAGAGAAAATGTAACCGCCGCTCATGGCGGCCACAATCGCGATGCAACTGCTAATGCCGTCGATTTGCCGTGCGGAATACGAGCCAATGACGTCACTAATCAACGGTTGGTGATTATTCCGGTCACGAGCCGGCACCAATGGCGGCTGAGCTGACAGTCACTGTCAGCTCTGAGCTGGGCTGACCGCCGAGCCGCCGACCTGACCACAGCCACCGCAGGCGTCGGCGTCGGGCACCGAGTCGTTTTTACTGAACTCTGTGTGCCGGTTTATGATTGGACAGTTTTTGTTGGTGGTTTCTGAGCAGTTTTCTGATTGGCCAACAGGTCGGCACGTGAACAAACAACTCTTCAGTTACTGGCAGCAGCGGTCTATAGAGCCTACCGCACAATCCAGCGGTCTCAGTGGCGGCGCCCATAAATTGTCATATATCGACACAGCGCTATAAATGACCCTTTAAATAAATATTACAGCCGGAAAATATCATAAAAATGTAACAAGTTTCCTGTTCATTGAACATGCTTTCAATGGAAAATATCCTAAATCAGTAACTAAATCAGATTTCTTTAAAGCATTGTAAGAAACGCAAAATTAGACCTAAAGTAGCCAACCCAATTCACAGCATCACTAAATAACAACGCACCAAGCTAAAAAAATCCTGCGGCCTGGAACCTACATCACACTCCCGGCTCGCCTCACTCTATTGCACCGCCCTGCCCTGCCACGCAGCCAGCTCATCGCCCGGCCGGCGGGGGACCGGCTTACCACGTGCAGCGCTGCAGGCGTCCCGATGCGCCCATGACCGCCGAATTCCGTATGCAGCCGCGCGGGGCTCGGACGCGCCCCGCCCTTGTAGGGATGCATTACCCGTTCGGCTCGGCTCGCCAGGCGAGTCTCTGCAGACAGCTATCTCACCGCAAGGTCGCTCAAGGCGCTCAGGTGCGGGGGGTGGAGGGGGGGGGGGCAGCGCGGGGGGGGGCAGCACGTGACGAGCGGCTGGACGTGAGGTAATGGATGGGGATGAGACGGTTACTCAGCAGGTGGAAGGCAACGGAAGGGAGACGAGGATAAGGTGGATGACCAAAAGGCGGCGACGGGGAGTGGAGTATTGTGAGAACCTGAAGCAGAATATGCTAACTTCTTTGTATTAAGTAGTTGTAGTAAACCCTCTAAAATATCAGCTTGATGAAATTTAAATGGAACCTTTTCGTCAGATCCTGTTGCTCTTTCTGTCCGGGTGTTATTCATGCAGCTACAAAAAGTGCAAGAAAAAAAAGAAATATTACGCTTTAGGTACATAAAATGTACATTCATAAAATGTACATAAAATGTACATTCTCCGATTACAAATGACAGAGATTTATCAGACAAACGCCTATTTCAACAGTAAATTGATGGGATTTTTAGCTTGTGTACCGACCATTTACGCTTCCTCAAATTACATCAAGAAGAACCGCAAATGAACGACTAAAATGTGTTTGTTCACAAGCCACGGCGACTACTTCACTCATTTTTGAATCGGAACGGTGTTAAATGCCACCTGACCTCTTCTCATGCTTTGTCCAAAGGTCAGTGACACCTTTCCACACCAGCACTGTATTCACGGCATCAAACTCGGCGCCTATTAACCCCGAGTCGTCTCTGCCGGTCCCACAAACCTCAGATCTCTTCATCAACCGTCTCTCCCACATATCCGGAAATCCCGCCAGCCGCCTTTGAGTCTTCAGCTGAGGATTTCTGAGAGTCGGTGTCCGCCGCTGATCGGTCTCCGCCACAACACACCGCTAAGCCACACCGCGCCGCATAGAGCACCAATTTGGCGGCAAAACGGCACGGTCACCGCGCCAAATTGGTCTGTATTCACGTGCGCCGGCCGATTGGCGCCCATTGCTTCCGCGTCTACAGACGGCGCCGGTGCGGCGAGCTCGTCGCCGCGGCTAGCGCGCCGTGAATGTCGCCTTTGAGTGGCGCTGTTGCGGCGCCGCGGCGCTGGCGGGGCGTTTGTGGCGCGGTTTCTGCGAGTCTGTGTCGTGGGTTCCCCGCTGGGTGGCTCTAAGGCGCGGTCCCCCGCGGCGTGGCGCCCAATCCAGGCCGAGTGACGGCGAAGAGACGATTTCAATCGACTTCGGACCGCAATGCTCGTTAGGCGAGACGTCCAACTTAGCTGTGTCACAGGTGGATGGGACTGGCCGCGCTGATGGCTGGGAGACCGTCCAACTGACCGGTCAACTGTCCCGTACAACTGAGCCATCAACTGAGCCATCCAACTTGCCCACCGTCCCGTCCAACTGACACACCAACTGACCCATCCAACAGTTCCATGTAGCTGATCAACTGTCTCATCAAGCTGACCGGCTGACGGCTGTCCAATGTCCATCCCATTGTCCCAATAACTGACCCACCGTCCCATTCCGTCCCATCGTTCCACCGTCTTCCCGTCTCCCGCCTCGCACCGTGTCTCCTTCCCGTCTCCTCCCTCTCTCCGTGGTGTCTCCTCCCTGTCTCGTACAGTGTCTCCTCCCCGTCTTGTACAGTGTCCGCTCCATGTCTCCCTGTCTCCGCCGCCACCACCGCCGACAGATGCTGTTCAATTCGTCACACCTCCCCATCCACTGACAGCCCGGCTCGGCTTTGGTCATTAGCGTTGACAGCTTCAAAGCCGCGCCGGCCTCGGTCGGTGTGACAGCTGTTGTCGCTGTCTGCGGCTCTCGGCTGCCGGTCTAACTGGGCTAGGAGGAGCCACTGCCGCCAGAGCGCGTGAGAAGAAACTCACTTCCGTTCAGACTAAAAACGAAATCCACGAGCTAAAAATCTCTGATATAAGCGCAACTTGCTAATATGACAGAATATTCCCGAATATGACCG